CCTGGTGGGAAACCTGCCCGCGGTGCTAAGGTCCAAAAAGAACTGTAAGGTCAGTCCCTGGCAAGGATGTACAGAGTAGGGTGCTCCGGCCGGGCTCGGGGGCTCCGCCTGTCATCCCAGCGCTTTGGGAGGCCGAGGCGAGTGGATCGCCTGAGCCGGCGGGTTCGAGACCCGCCTGGGCAACTTCACGAGACCTCATCTCTACAATTAAAAAAAAAAAAAAATTAGCCGGGCGTGGTAGTGCACGCCGGTCGTTCCGGCGACTTGGAAGGCGGAGGCGGGAGGATCGCCGGAGCCCGGCGGGTCGGGGCTGGGGTGGCCGTGAGTGTGCCAGTGCGCTCCAGCCTGGGCGACAGAGTGAGACTCCCGCTCAGAAAAAAAGAATAGGGTGCTCTCATACACTGTTGGCAGGGACGTAAATTGGTACGGCATTTCTGAAAGGAAATTTAGCAGAATCGACCAAAATACTAATTGCACCTACCCTTCAATTGAGCAATTCCACTAATAAGTATTTTAGAGAAATCCTCATATGCACACAAGAAAGTATGTAATGTTTACTACAGCATCATTTGTAATGGTGAAACAAACGGGGTTGGGCGCGGCGGCTCACGCCTGTCATCCCAGCACTTTGGGAGGCCGAGGCGAGTGGATTGCCTGAGCCCACCGGTTCGAGACCAGCCTGGACAACTTGGCAAGACTTCATCGCTACAGTAAAGCAAAAAAAGTAGCTGGGCATGGTGGCGGACGCCTGTAGTTCCAGTTACTTGGCAGGCTGAGATGGAAGGATCACCTGAGCCTAGCAGGTGAGGCGGTGGCCCCTGAGCGTGCCACTGCTCTCCAGCCTGGGCGACAGAGTGAGACTACAACTCAAAAAATAATAATAAAAGGAAACAGCATGAACGTCTATCAACAGGAAATGGTTAATGGCACAGCTGTTAATATAGGAAGTTTTGCACGGGATATATAATAAATAGAGATACATATTCATACACAAGAATATTCTGACCAGTGAACAAGAACCAAGACGTTTTAAAAGCCAGCTGCAAAAAACACATAGAGCATTATCATTTTAGGTCAAAACACAGAAAAATTATGTGTGTGTGCCTGTAATACCTTGAAAAGGGTCTCAAAGGATATAGGGCTAAGTAGGCTTATAGCTACTAGACGCTGTTATTTTCTTTTTTCTTTTTTCTTTTTTTTTTTGCGTTGGAGTCTCACTCTGTCATCCAGACTGGAGTGCAGTGGCATGCTCATAGTCATCACTGCCTCAACCCCCAGGCTCCAGCGATCCTTCCGCCTCAGCCTTCCAAGTAGCCAAAACTACAGGCACGCGCTACCACACCTGGCTGATTTTTTTGATTTACGGTAGAGATGAGGTCTTGCCAAGTTGCCCAGGCAGGTCTCGAACCCACGAGCTCAGGTCATCCACTCACCTCAGCCTCCCAAAGCGCTGGGATCACAGGCTGAGCCGCAGAGCCCTACGAAAGCTGTTATTTTCTACTCCATATACTTCTCTGCTGCTTAAGATTTTATAACAATATATATAGCTAATATTTCACTTAATACATGTAAAAAGAGAACTAAAGGCCAGAAAATGGTTTGTTGCTTGTTCCCTCTTTCTGACCCTATGATCTCATCTGAAGCCTAGGTCATGGGACTACACTACATTGTACCTCTTTTTTTCCGTGTTCTGTGTCAACATTGCTGATAATCATTTCTTGAGGATTCTAGTTCTTGCCTCACTTTGCTACTGGTTTACACTCTTCCTCTTTTCCCAAACCTCGCCACCCTCTTAGAGTCTTCAGAGTCTCTTAGTAGCCATACAGTCCCCTGACCTAAATTTAACCATCTTTACCTGTATTCCCCATGTTTTAGTCATCATATGCATACGTATTAGCCTTCTCCTTATTCCTCCCCTCTCCCTGTTTCAACTGTTCTCTTGCCAGCAACCTTAAACTTCCTTTCCTTTCTTCCATCACAGCCAAACCAAAAGGCCCCAGTCATGCATATCCCCAAAATCCCCCTTCATTATTCCCCAAGAGCAAATCACCCAAGTATAAAGATTGGCATCCCTACAAGTTTTGAGTCTCTGCTTTTCCCTTAACACGTAGATTTGCAATTGCTAGTTTTTATTCATATTCCCTCCCGTGGCTGTCCCGAACATTGCTGCCCCTTCCAGGCCTTCGACTCTTAAGTCTTCTCCTCTTCCTTCTTACTATTTCCCTAAGAAAACAAAGTGTATGAACGCTCAGCTGAATGCCACCTAGTCATAGTCTTATCTGCATGTTCATCTATTCTTTTTACTCTCGACCTGTGTGTGCCCTGGATTCTCCAGTCCCCAATCGCCTGCTTCAACAGTTATCCTCTTTCTTTTCTGTACCTTCAGACTCCCGTTTTCCATTCACCCCTTTCCCTCAACAGCTAAGCATATGCAAATCCTTTCTTTAAAGAAAAAAAGCCTTTACTTAACCATCTTTTTTCTTTATATAAATTTAAATTTCTTTTGCCTCACCATCGCATAGCAAAAATGTAAAGTTTTTTGCTAATTCGTCTCTTGATACAGTTTTAAAGTTCTCCATCCTTCACAGTCAAATGCACATTAAAAGCAACCCATAAGTATTGATTCAACTTGCTCATCTTCTAGATTCTTACCTCGCTACTCTCTTAACTTTGGCTCCTACCACTCATTATAGTGAAAACTGTTGTCCCTAAGGTGAGCAGTGACCTTCATGTGAGCAATTCTCGTAGAACCATTTTATCAGTTAATTTAATCCCCTGAATAGATTCTGTTTCTGTCCCCTCCTGTCTCTTCTCATTACCCTAATTCAGGCCCTCATCTCTCTCTTATGGACTTGCATTCTCTGCCATCCACCCCACCCTACTCTCATTTTTATCCAATCTATCGTACTCAAAAATCTGCACCAAATTACTTCCCTGATCAAAATTCTTCCATTTTTCAGTGCAAGTAAGAGAAAATGCAACCTGTTGCAAAGTAAATAACTCCATTCTTGATCCCTGGCTTAGCCTAGAGATAAAGCCCAGGACTTACCCAGCTTCACCTCTGTGACTTCCAACCTTCCACTTAGCACTTCAGTCATTCTCAGCTCCTTCTGGTTCTCTGAATTGTTCACTTTCTTCATATTCTTCATACCTTTGCACGCATTAAACCTCCTGCCTAAAACGCTGTCCCTAGTTTGTCAATTGGGCCAACTGATCGTTTCACGTGTCAGCCCATATAATACCTCCTCTATGACTTTAGTAGGAGGTTGTTTGTTTGTTTCATTTTTTAGACATGAGGTTGCAGTATGCTGCCCAAGCTGGCCTTGAACTCTTGGACTCAAGGAACCCTTCCACCTCAGTCTCCCATGTAGCTGGGATTACAGGTGTGCACCACAGTGTTACATCAATCTTTTTGTTGTACCTGATGTGTAAGGTACCTCCCACTAAAGCATAAGCTCCATAAATGCAGGAGATTTGCTTTTTCATTTTTATGTTCCCAGCACAACATCCTTCACATGGGTCCATCCAGCAATATTCGTTCAATATTACAAAATTTCAATTTAAGTCTAATCATTTTACTTTTTTTTTTCATTTAACTATTAATTTAACCATTTTCCAAAATTTCCCAATTTCAGAACCCTACATATACTTTGTTTAAAAAAAAAAATTCGGCCAGCTGGGGTGGGCTCACACCTATAATCCCAGGACTTT